TCCATGAACCTAGCTAGTAAAAAAGAATAAAGCGTACTTTGCTTTAAACATAATCTAAGATAATGTAAATTAATTTTTAAGGTAGATCAATAATAATATTAACACACTCTCAGAAAGGATTTCTCTCCAATATCAGAAAAATGTCATTTTTCTTTCCATGGGTGTGGATGTTCTTGCGTCTTCCATCTCTTCAAAACGATGAAATCATCCTTGACAATCTTTCTTCATTGGAGAAATGTATCAATTCTGAACCTAGTAAAAAAGAATAAAACGTACTTTGCGTTAAACATAATCTAAGATGATATAAATTAATTTTTAAGCTAGATCAATAATAAATATTAACACACTCTCAGAAAGGAATTCTCTCCAATATCAGAAAAATGTCATTTTTCTTTCCATGGGTGTGGATCTTCTCGCGTCTTCCATCTCTTCAAAACGATGAAATCATTCTTGACAATCTTTCTTCAGTGGAGAAATGTATCCATTCTGAACCTAGTAAAAAAGAATAAAACGTACTTTGCGTTAAACATAATCTAAGATGATATAAATTAATTTTTAAGCAAGATCAATAATAATAAATGTTAACACACTCTCAGAAAGGATTTATCTCCAACATCAGAAAAAATGTCATTTTTCTTTCCATGGGTGTGGATCTTCTCGCGTCTTCCATCTCTTCAAAACGATGAAATCATCCTTGACAATCTTTCTTCATTGGAGAAATGTATCCATTCTGAACCTAGTAAAAAAGAATAAAACGTACTTTGCGTTAAACATAATCTAAGATGATATAAATTAATTTTTAAGCTAGATCAATAGTAAATATTATCATATCCTTTATACTTATTACATATTAACATATAACATTTATAATATTAACATATCCTTATACTTAGATTTATATCCTTTATACTTATAATAATTTAACACTAATAATACTTATTTCATTGAACTTTGGTTCCTCTATCGTAAAACTTCCATATTTTTAAAGGCGTCGATCATGGTGTATAAAAATTCGATACTTTTAATGTAATTTCAACTTTTAAAGCTTTTCAAAGAATTTAGGCTCTTTATTTGATTGGGAAATTTTTAGAACTTATTCGGATTTTTCTTGCACTTATTGCAAAACTTCCCTTTGTAGGTTTCGCTTACTAAACACCAGCTAATAAGAAATTATTTTTAATGAAAAAGTGAACTTAAATTAATAAAATTAAACAGAGCTTTTAAATGAATCCTTTGATTTAGTTCCCGATTCTGTTTGTGATAGAACTTGAATCTGTCTGTTAGCTTAGTTACTGTTGCAACATGCACAACATTTTAATTTTCTATTAAAGTTTCGGTTAGATTATTTGGTACTAAGGCGTAATGCTAGTCCCAAATGTCTCACTTTTATCATTATTTTAACAGCTATTTTTAAAATTTTAAGTAACTTACTAAAAAGCAATTAATTGTCTGTTTATTAATTGCAAAACTTAAAAAATGTTTCGTAGTATAACATAACTATAATATACTATATATTTATAAGATTACTTTATAATAAAGGAACATAACTTTAACGAAGTGATTAAGTGCTAAGCATTTCAAAACTCTACTAAGGATTATACATATATTGAAACAGAATAACAAAGAATTTACAGGTAACATACATTTTTTTAAAAAAAATTAGTCTTAACAGCTTATAAAATCTGAATCTTAAGAAGCCAAACAAAGTGATTTTTCTGGCCAATAAGAATGGGCAGACAATGAGACTGTTTTTAGAAAATTGTGTTATAAAGAGGGACTTATACGAAACCGAAAATAAGTTAGTTTTCGTGAATTTTATGATTAGAATTTTTCAGAGTATAAATAATTTGAAAATCTTTCTAAGTCAAAGCAATTTAGAAGGTACTCAAAGTACGGACAGTTTTAAAAATTTTCCAACTACGAACTTCTGCGATACTTTACATACCCGTTTTTAAAAACTTCAGAATTTTCCTAATTCTATGCATTTTCAGAATTTTCCGAAAACAAACCCATTCTGAACTTTTCAAACTACAAACTATTTGAAAATTTTACAAAACAGAAACAGTCTTAAATTTTTCCTACGACTAACTTCTGCGATTTTATATATACCCGTTTTTTTCTATTAAAATACTTTTCTATTTCAAACAACTTCAGAATTTTTCAAATTACATATAAATGTAAAATTTGCCAAATTTGAAATTTTCAAAATATAAACTTCTGCCACTCCTTAAATATATTTTTGCGAACTTTAAAAATTTGCATGTTTACAAAACTTCAAAATATTTCTAAGTATAAAAATTTCTAAAAAAATTTTAAAGTAAAAAACAATTTAAAAATAATTCAAACTTCAAACAACTTCGGAAATTTTCTACCGAAACACATCCGAATTTTTCAACGCATTAAAATTGTTCAAATTCCAATTAAGTTTAAAATTTATGACTACCAGGCTACCGTATTGAGCAACTAAAAAAAATATTCTATGTTCGCACAACTTCAAGGTATTTTTAAGTACAAAAAATGTGCAAATTGTTTTTACCTGAAAGCAATTCGAAAGTTTAACTTAAAAAGAACTTCAGAAATTTTCTAAGTACAAACATTTTGAAAATTTTTCTAACTTCAAATTAACAACTAATCTGAAGAGTTTTCAAAATCAGGTGATTAAAAACGAGACAGTTATCGAAAACTTTAGTTACAGAGTGACGATATTAGTTTACTTAACTTTCTTAGGTTAATCTCAAAGACACTAGTATTTAATCGATATTTCCAAAGACTGTCTTAAACTAGTTTTAACGGAAAAGTATTTATGAATAATGATTACACTAATACTGATAATGAGTAGACAAATTCATCAAGTTTTTTCGAACTCGTAAACCATTTTATTCAACTGATTATGTATAAGTTATCCCTTAAAATGATTATTTTATATTTACTATGTGGATTAAATACAAACATTCTGATTATGAAACTATTTCATCAGTTTAGAATTATTCGTTATATAATTCAAAATTGCTAAAAATGTAATCTCTAAAGAAGAGTTCATTTAGAAATTAAATCAATGTTTTGATAATGCTTTAATGCGAAAATAATTCGCACATTAATTTAAATGAAAATATACTAGGTTGCTTAAATAGTTTTCTTCATGAAGTGCAATAATATCTGCACGTGTTTTGTCTATCGGTACTGTATATAAATATATATATATATTTATATACAGTACTTCTGAGAAGTTTAGACTAAACTTTTAGAAGTTAGAAGTACCGGTCAAAAGTTTAGACTCACTTGCATTTAGTTCAAAACTTTCAAAAAATAGTTAAATATTTCTGACTTAAGAGTATAATTTATTAAATATAAACGTCAACAAACTTCACAAAACGCTGTTTTCATTTAAAACTGTTCATTATTTTTTCATTTTGTATCTATTCTGTAGTTTACGAAATGAACGAAAGTGCATGTTAATACCTATTTTTTAAAAAAGTGTACTTTATTTAAAAAATTTCATTAATTTTTAGTTTATCAACAAGTTACTTTTAATCTTTTGTAAGTTAAGTTCATTATAAGTTAAGTTCATGTTCATAACACAGTTAAAATATTGATGTAGTCTTCATTTGACAAAATAACTGGTATATATTAAAAACATAAGTTTGCATTTTATACAATTCATTATGGGTCAAAAACCAGAAATAAGTGTCAAAACACGGTCAGATATTATTGCACTTCATGAAGAAAGCTATTTAAGCAACCTAGTATATTTTTACTTAAATTAATGTGCGAATTATTTTCGCATTAAAGCATTATAAAAACATTGATTTAGTTTCTAAATGAACTCTTCTTTAGAGATTACATTTTTACCAATTTTGAATTATATAACGAATAATTCTAAACTGATGAAATAGTTTCATAATCAGAATGTTTGTATTTAATCCACATAGTAAATATAAAATAATCATTTTAAGGGATAACTTATACATAATCAGTTGAATAAAATGGTTTACGAGTTCGAAAAAACTTGATGAATTTGTCTACTCATTATCAGTATTAGTGTAATCATTATTCATAAATACTTTTCCGTTAAAACTAGTTTAAGACAGTCTTTGGAAATATCGATTAAATACTAGTGTCTTTGAGATTAACCTAAGAAAGTTTAGTTACAGAGTGACGATATTAGTTTACTTAAGTTTTCGATAACTATGTCTCGTTTTTAATCACCTGATTTTGAAAACTCTTCAGATTAGTTGTTAATTTGAAGTTAGAAAAATTTTCAAAATGTTTGTACTTAGAAAATTTCTGAAGTTCTTTTTAATTTGAAAAACTTTCGAATTGCTTTCAGGTAAAAAAATTTGCACATTTTTTGTACTTAAAAATACCCTGAAGTTGTGCGAACATAGAATATTTTTTTAGTTGCTTAATACGGTAGCCTGGTAGTCATAAATTTTTAACTTGATTGGAATTTGAAAAATTTTAATACGTTGAAAAATTCGGATGTGTTTCGGTAGAAAATTTCCGAAGTTGTTTGAAGTTTGAATTATTTTTAAATTGTTTTTTACTTTAAAATTTTTTAGAAATTTTTATACTTAGAAATATTTTGAAGTTTTGTAAACATGCAAATTTTTAAAGTTCGCAAAAATATATTTAAGGAGTGGCAGAAGTTTATATTTTGAAAATTTCAACTTTGGCAAATTTTACATTTATATGTAATTTGAAAAATTCTGAAGTTGTTTGAACATAGAAAAGTATTTTAGTAGAAAAAAAACGGGTGTATATAAATTCGCAGAAGTTAGTCGTGGGAAAAATTTGAGACTGTTTCGGATTTGTAAAATCTTCAAATAATTTGTAGTTTGAAAAGTTCAGAATGGGTTTGTTTTCGGAAAATTCTGAAAATGCATAGAATTAGGAAAATTCTGAAGTTTTTAAAAACGGGTATGTAAAGTATCGCAGAAGTTCGTAGTTGGAAAATTTTTAAAACTGTCTGTACTTTGAGTAGCTTCTAAATTGCTTTGACTTAGAAAAATTTTCAAATTATTTATACTCTGAAAAATTTTAATCATAAAATTCACGAAAACTAACTTATTTTCGGTTTCGTGTAAGTCCCTCTTTATAACACAATTTTCTAAAAACTGTCTCATTGTCTGCCCATTCTTATTGGCCAGAAAAATCACTTTGTTTGGTTTCTTAAGATTCAGATTTTATAAGCTGTTAAGACTATTTTTTTTAAAAAAAATGTATGTTACCTGTAAATTCTTTGTTATTCTGTTTCAATATATGTATAATCCTTAGTAGAGTTTTGAAATGCTTAGCACTTAATCACTTCGTTAAAGTTATGTTCCTTTATTATAAAGTAATCTTATAAATATATAGTATATTATAGTTATGTTATACTACGAAACATTTTTTAAGTTTTGCAATTAATAAACAGACAATTAATTGCTTTTTAGTAAGTTACTTAAAATTTTAAAAATAGCTGTTAAAATAATGATAAAAGTGAGACATTTGGGACTAGCATTACGCCTTAGTACCAAATAATCTAACCGAAACTTTAATAGAAAATTAAAATGTTGTGCATGTTGCAACAGTAACTAAGCTAACAGACAGATTCAAGTTCTATCACAAACAGAATCGGGAACTAAATCAAAGGATTCATTTAAAAGCTCTGTTTAATTTTATTAATTTAAGTTCACTTTTTCATTAAAAATAATTTCTTATTAGCTGGTGTTTAGTAAGCGAAACCTACAAAGGGAAGTTTTGCAATAAGTGCAAGAAAAATCCGAATAAGTTCTAAAAATTTCCCAATCAAATAAAGAGCCTAAATTCTTTGAAAAGCT